CACTCCAGCCTGGGCAACAAGAGCAAAACTCCATGTCAAAAATAAAAATAAAAAAATTAACCAGGCATGGCGGTGAATGCCTATGATCCTAGCTACTGGGGATGCAGAGGTGGGAGGACCTCTTGAACCCAGGAATTCAACGCTTCAGTGAGCTATGGTGGTGCCACTGCACTACAGCCTGGGTGACAGAGCAAGATTCGTCTCAAAATAAGAAAGAAGCAGCCGGGCGCGGTGGCTTAAGCCTGTAATCCCAGCACTTTGGGAGGCCGAGGCGGGTGGATCACAAAGTCAAGAGATCGAGACCATCCTGGTCAACATGGTGAAACCCCGCCTCTACTAGAAATACAAAAAATTAGCTGGGCATGGTGGCACGTGCCTGTAAACCCAGCTACTCAGGAGGCTGAGACAGGAGAATTGCCTGAACCCAGGAGGAGGAGGTTGTGGTGAGCCGAGATCGCGCCATTGCACTCCAGCCTGGGTAACAAGAGCGAAACTCCGTCTCAAAAAAAAAAAAAAGAAAAGAAAAAAGAAAGAAGGAAGCACGCAAAGATCTCTGCCCTCATGGAGTCCATGTGGTGATGGATGTGTTCGCTGCCGCATTCGCCATCAATGCACCTTGCGTGGTGCTGCCCCCTTGTGGCTCTGGCGTCCAAAGCAAAGTCTCACAAGGTGCCTCTGACTGGGGGAGCCTGGGCCACATGACATCTCCCGACTGTAAAGGAAGCTAAGAACGCAAGTCTCCAGCAGGACTCACGAAGCAGAGGACTCCACAGGCACTGGGTAGCCTGGAAACACAAGCCAGGCCCCGGGCATGGAGGCTCAGCTTGAGTGTCCCTTAACTGAAATGCTTGGGACCAAAGTGTTTCAGATTTGGGATTTTATTTTATTTTTTTTTTTTTTTGAGACAGAGTTTCACTCTTGTTTCCCAGGCTGGGGTGCAATGGCACGATCTCTGCTCACTGCAACCTCCACCTCCTGGGTTCAAGAGATTCTCCTGCCTCAGCCTTCCAAGTAGCTGGGATTATAGGCACACGCCACCACACCCAGATAATTTTTGTACTTTTAGTAGGGATGGTGTTTCATCATGTTGGTCAGGCTAGTCTCGAACTCCTGATCTCAGATGATCTGCCCGCCACAGCCTTCCAAAGGGCTGGGATTACAGACATGAGCCACCACACCCGGCCTTGGGATTTTTAAAAAATATTTGCATATACATAATGGGATATTTGGGGAATACAACCCAAGTCTAAACATAAAATTTATTTATGTTTATAGACATCTTATACATATAGCCTGAGTGTAACTTTATATATTTTTAATAACATATACTGATATTTTAATAATTTTAATTAAAAATACACAATATTTTTATATATAATTGATATTTTTACAATTTTATTTTTCCAGACATTATTGGGGTGCAGGTGGTGTTTGGTTACATGAGTAAGTTCTTCAGTGGTGATTTGTGAGACCCTGGTACACCCATCACCCGAGCAGTACACACGGCACCATATGTGTTGTCTTTTATCCCTCGTCCCCCTCCCACTCTTCCCCCCAAGGCCCCAAAGTCCATCGTATCGTTCTTATCCTTTGCGTCCTCACAGCTTAGCCCCCACACATCAGTGAGAAGATACGAGGTTTGGTTTTCCAATCTTTCTTTTCTTTCTTTTCTTTCGAGACGGAGTCTCGCTGTGTTGCCCAGGCTGGAGTGCAGTGACTCGATCTCCATTCGCTGAAACCTCCACCTCCCAGATTCAAGTGATTCTTCTGCCTCAGCCTCCCGAGTAGCTGGAATTACAGGCACCTGACACCACGCCTGTCTACTTTTTGTATTTTTGGTAGAGAAGGGTTTTCACCATGTTGTCCAGGCTGGTCTCAAACTCCCGGCCTCAAACAATCTGCTCTCCCTGGCCTCCCACAGTGCTGGAATTACAGGCGTGAGCCACCGCGCCCACCCTGGCTTGACAAACCTATGAGAAGCTGGGGCTTTTTAAGCTGTGGAAATAAACAAAGACCAACCAAATGGGAAAAGTGAAAGATATTCATTCAGAGCCTGCTGTGGCAAGGGAGTCAGCCACAGTCACTTGTATTTGGGCAGGGACTCAAAGGCAGGCAGAGGAGAGGGACAGCTTCCTAGTGGAAAACAGGCAAAGCTTTAGGTACCCTGAAGTACTCCCTGATTGGAGGCTGCTGGCCCAGGGAAGGGACCTTGAGGTGGTTAAATGTAAGTGGAGGCTCCTTTGGGATTGGTTAAGGATCAGGTGTGAGCCACCATGCCTGGCCCCTAGTTCAATTTTAAAATGAGTTTTGGACAGTGACTAGAAAAAAATTTTAGAGAAATGAATGAAATAGGCAAAAGTTGACTCAACCTATGCGTTAATTTGATTACACAAATCTGCATGAGATGACACTCTAGTCTGGCTGGAGATAACAATCCTTTCTTCACTCAGGAGAGCCTGAAATGGCTTCTCCCCACCCTTCCAGGGCTCCCAGGTCACAGGCACCTCTTTTGGAAGCTGCACAGTGTGGTCATTAGGAGTTCAGGTGGCCCGGGTATGGTCACAGCACTGCACTTATCGTGAGCCGTAAAGTCAATTTGCTTCTCCGAGCCTCAGTTTCCTTATCTGTAAAATGGCACAGAGCCATTTTGGATCATTGAGAGCATTGTGTGTGTGTCTGTGTGTATCTATGTGTGTGTGTGTGTGTGTGTGTGTGTGTGTGTGTATATTTCAAACTTCATAACCACCCTAAAAGCTACGTATTCATATTATTCTCATTTCACAGATGAACCAAGTCACAGAGAGACTAGTTAGTCCAAGGTCACGCAGCTAGTAGGCAGCGTGAGGATCTCCCCGTCTGTGAGCTTAGCTGCCAAGAAGAGCTGGGATAAAACAGATGTCCAGCTTTAAAGCTGGGAGGTCAGAGGGTAAGAGTCAGGTAGGCGTGGTCCTAATTCTGGCAAGTCGAGTTTAAGAATCCTCCAAGTCCCCTCTATCTCCTGGAAAACCCAGCCCAGAATACCGAGTACCAGCTTGGCCATAGAGACCCCCCACCTAGGTAGGCTGAAGGAACTGAGAGGCAGACACCCAGATAGAAGAGCAAAGTGGGACTGTCGAGGGGGTCGAGGGGGAGCAGCCTTCCAGGCTGAGAGCCTCAGGGCCTGACGGCATTCCAGGCTGAAGCCCGGGAGCAGCCGCTGACGCGCCCCCCCCCCCGTTAGTCTCTCTGAACAGGTGATCATTATTAACAAGCAGGTGTTCGGTATTTTCTCATAACACAAAACACGCCAAGTAGGCAGCTGCTGCCTGCTTACCACTGATCACAGACAACCCATAAAGTATTCTCCACGAGGGAGCCACGGGGGCAGAGTCAGCTAGCTAAGGACTGGTTTTTAACAGGTGTATGATGTTCATCCATTGTCCTACCATTTTGGAATGCCCGGAGGAGTTTTCTACTTGGGAGGGCTGGCCAGGTTTTCCTTGCCATCGTTCTTCCTAGCAAACAATATATTCGATCACACACTCACCATTTCTCAGTATTCACACACTTAACGTTTCTCAACACCAGAACCTCATCCTTTTGCTAAAAGGATTCAAGTATCATCAACTGAGGTGAGGAAAAAAGCAGAGCAGATTGAGTCAGGCTCAGTGGCTCCTGTCTGTAATCCCAACACTTCGGGAGGCTGAGGCAGGTGAACAGCTTGAGTCCAGGAATTTGTGACCAGACTGAGTAATGTAGCAAGACCCCTTCTTTACAAAAAGTTTAAAAATTAGCCAGGAGTGGTGGTGTGTGCCTGTAGTCCCAGCTACTCGGGGGACTGAGGTGGGAGAATGGCTTTAGCCCAGGAGTTTGAGGCTGCAGTGAACCGTGATCACGCCACTGCACTCCAGCGAGAGAGTTTCAGAGTGAGACTCCGTTTCAAAAAAGAAAAAGAATCGATTTGATGGGGTGGGATGGGGGAGCATGTCAGCAAGCAGGTTTTGGATGTGCTGAGGATTGTATGAAATCCCAGGGAGCAGCAATGTTAAGATAGCAGAGCTGAGGAGTTCCATCTGGGACATGATGAAATTTTTTTGAGACGGAGCCTTGTTCTGTTGCCCAGGCTGGAGTGCAGTGGCACGATCTCGGCTCACTACAACCTCTGCCTCCTGGGTTCAAGTGATTCTCTTGCTTCAGCCTCCCGAGTAGCTGGGATTACAGGTGCACACCTGTAATTAAAATTAGCCATGCCTGGCTAATTTTTGTATTTTTAGTAGAGACAGGGCTTCACTATGTTGGTCAGGCTGGTCTCGAACTCCTGATTTCAGGTGATTTGACTGCCTTGGCCTCCCAAAGTGCTGGAATTACAGGTGTGAGCCACCGCACTCACCCCAATTTTTTTTTTTTATTTTGAAATGGAGTCTCACTTTGTCGCCCAGGCTAGAGTGCAGTGGCATGATTGAAGCTCACTGTACCTCCGCCTCCCGGGTTCAAGTGAGTCTCCTGCCTGTGGCTGGGATTACAGGTGCGTGCCACCATGCTGGGCTAATTTTTGTACTTTTAGTTGTGACAGGGGTTTCACCATCTTGGCCAGGCCGGTCTCGAACTTCTGACCTCATGATCTGCCTGCCTCGGCCTCCCAAAGTGCTGGGATTACAGGTGTGAGCCACTGCACCCGGCCCAAAAAATTTTTTTTAATAAAGATGGGGTCTCACTATGTCGCCCAGGCTGGTCTCAAACTCCTGGGTTCAAGTGATCCTCTCACCTCATCCTCCCAAATTGCTGGGATTGCAGGTGTGAGCACCGCATCTGGCCCACTGGGACCAGATGGGCCATGTTGAATTTTATGTGCCACCCAGATGGTTGGATACTCAGATCTGAAAAGCCCAAGACAGCTCTGGGCTGGAAATAAGAAACTGTACATCAGTGCTCCATGCAGTCACTGATGGTCGGTGGGGGGTGGGGGGAGCCCTCAGGAGACATCACACAGTCCCCCTCTCTCTCTTTCTCTTGCCCCTTAGAAAGGAATAAAGAGCTGCCCAGTACACACCTGCCCACCAATGCTGGGATCCTGGCGGCCACCATCATTGGATCTCTTACTGCTGGGGCCCTTCTCATCAGCTGCATTGCCTATCTTCTGGTGACAAGGAACTGGAGGGGCCAGAGCCACAGGTACAGGGTCCCCAGGCATCCCTCCCCTGTGTCCTCCCACTGCCTTCTCAAGCCCCATGGATTCTTCCACAAGTCACATTCATCTGGCTCATACACAATATCATCAAATCTTGAAACTCCTGGGGTGAAAAGGATCTTTCTATCCTGTATCAAATAGAGTTCTGCATTGCAAGGGACAGGAAACCTACTCTTGAACGGACTTATCCAAAACAAAGAATTTTAGACAGGGTCTCGCTCTGTCACCCAGGCTGGAGTGCAGTGGCCCAATCATGGCTCACTGCAGCCTGGACCTCCCCGGGCTCAGGTGATCCTTTCACCTCAGCCTCCCAGGTAGCTGGGACTACAGGCGTGCACCACCATGCCCAGCTAATTTTTTGTATTTTAGTAGAGATGGGGTTTCACCATGTTGTTCTGGGTGGTCTCAAACTCTTGAGCTCCGGTAATCTGCCGGCCTCGGCCCCTCAAAGTTCTGGGATTACAGGTGTGATCCCCCGTGCCTGGCCGATTATTATTTTTTGTACTCAAAACTGCACACACACCTTGCACTGTCTCCCCGCTCTCCATTTTCCTTCATAGGGAAGGAATGTTCCTCCCTGATAATCTGCTGTCAATGCTGTATTACAACTTTCTTCCCCTCTCTCTCCCTGCTAGGGTATCTGCTCCAGGAGGCCAGGGGCCTCTGTCAGTCTTCTGCCCAGCTGTGTCCCCAGTACCTTCAGTGACACCCAGCACATGGTTGGTGCTTGTAAATACTTGTGTGGTAAATTAACAAACTTGCTATAGCGTTATCAAGAGTGCTTTTGTTTTCAGAGTCAGAGTCTCGCTCCGTCTCCCAGGGTGGGGTGCGGTGGTGCGATATAGCTCACTGTAGCCTCGACCTCCCTGATTCAAACCATCCTCCCACCCTAGTCTCCCAAATAGCTGGGACCCCCGGGTGCACGCCACCACGCCTGCCTGATAGTTGTAATTGTTGTAGAGATGGGATGTCACTTTGTGGGTCAGACAGGTCTCAAACGCCTGGCCTCAAGACATTCTCCCGCCTTGGTCTCCCACTGTGCTGGGGGTATAGGCACAAGCCACTTCACTTGGTTCCCCTGTAATTTTTAAATTAAGGGTATTCAGACCAGGCGCGGTGGCTCACACCTGTAATCCCAGCACTTTGGGAGGACAAGGCGGGTGCATCCCTTGAGGTCAGGAGTTCAAGACCAACCTGACCAACTTGGTGAAACCCCATCTCTACTAACAATACAAAATTAGCCAGGTGTGGTGGTGCACACCTGTAATCCCAGCTACTTGGGAGGCTGAGGCAGGAAAATCGCTTGAACCTCCAGACACCTCCAATCCATTCCGAGGCAAGGTCTTTCTAAAATTCTGATCCTGTTACCCCTCTGCTCAAAGGCCCTCCATGGCTCCCCAGTGCCCTTGGGACAAAGTTTAGGCTCCTTTATATGGTTCTTAAGGCATTTCACAAGCTGGTTCCCACTGTCTTCCCTGAGGTTGCAGTGAGCTGAGATCATGCCATTGCACTCCAGCCTGGACAAGAGCAAAACTCCATCTAAATAAATAAATAAATAAATAAATAAATGTATGCAAATGAGTCCATGTAAAGAGAAATATTAAGGAAATCCTAAGACAGGTGGATGGAGCTGCACCATTCAGGTGATCTCTGTAAATGGTGCTGTTTGGGGAACAGTGCTCACTGGCATAAGGTGGTGGCTACGGAAACTGAAGGATTGCGGATGGGGATTACAGAAGAAGAGCCTGGGATAGTTCAGGCCTCATCGTCCTAGCTCACCCTGAAGGAGAGACCATGTGGCTTTCAGAGGCCTGGTGGGATTTCTAGCTTCTCTGAGTCTCTCTCCACCCACCTGCGTGTCTCTAGCCTAATACCGGTTCCCTCCATGTGTCCCCAGGATGGCAACCACAAAGAAGCCAGAATTGGGCCCTGGTCATGATGCTGGTAAGGCAGGAGCCCCGAATCTCTCTACCCCGCCCTCCTGTCAGGTCCTCCCTTCTCCCCCATAGCCACACGCCCCCTTATTCTCCCTCACTCAGGGGCCTCCCAATGCACCTGCCCCGAGACCTCTCTGGGGCCCCCTGAACTCCACCCTCATCTGAGCACATCGGCACCCACCCCAAACCCGCTTTTTCTCTTCTTTTCAGTGTCTGGCACTCCCATCCCACCAGGCGGGTGGATCCCATCCATGCCCACAGGCCACTCCCAGCCTCCTAGACCCCCACTCCCAGCTCCTCACTGGTCTCTCAGCCTCCAGACACCTCCAACCCATCTTAGGGCAAGTTCTTTCTAAAATTCTGATCCTGTTACCCCTCTGCTCAAAGGCCCTTATGGCTCCCCAGTGCCCTTGGGACAAAGTTTAGGCTCCTTAACATGGTTCTCAAGGCCCTTCATAAGCTGGTTCCCACTGTCTTCCCTGGCTTCATCTCTCATACGTTAACATCACTCTCCTCAGAAAAAAAAAAAAATAATGAAATTGCGCACACACACATACACACACACAGTCAAGACAGATCAAACACAGCTGGCTCTCTCACCAGACCTCTCTCTGCATGCATACACCCTCTCCTGCCCTTTTTCTTTCTTTCTTTTTTTTTTGAGAAGGAGTCTTGCTCTGTTGCCCAGGCTGGAGTGCAGTAGTGCAGTCTCAACTCACTGCAACCTCCCCTCCTGGGTTCAAGCGATTTTCCTGCCTCAGCCTCCGGAGTAGCTGGGACTACAGGCACGCACCACCATGCCGGGCTAATTTTTGTATTTTAATAGAGATGGGGTTTCACCATGTTGGCCAGGCTGGTCTCGAACTCCTGACCTCGTGATCCACCTGCCTCGGCCTGCCAAAGTGCTGGGATTAACAGGTGTGAGCCACCGTGCCCAGCCCTTCCTGCCTTTTCTTACCTCTCACTTTACTATCTCAGATGCCTCCTCCTCCAGGAAGCCCTCACTAACTCCTAGGCTGCTTAGGCACTCCCTCTTGGGCTCCCACCCATCCCCAGTCTCCCAACTCCAGCCCTAAACACTCCAGGTTGTCACTCTGGAGACTGGTCTGCCTCCCCCACTGGACTGTGAGCCCCAAAGGGCAGGCCCGGGACTGTTGTGGTCACCCCTGTGTCCCCAGCACTGGGTTTGGCTAGAAGAAGAGTTTAGTTGAATGAATGAATAAATGAAGATCAGCATGCAGCCAGAGTGGCCTGTGGGGCCCATCTCTCAGCTGGCACCTCCCCTGTCCCCCGTTTCAGATGACAACATCTATGAAGTGATGCCCTCTCCGATCCTCCTGGTGTCCCCCATCAGTGACTCGGGGTCCACGAACCCAGCCCTGGTGAGTCCCGTCCCTGGCCTCTCCCCTGAAGCCGACGCTAACAGGCGCCTCCTCTCTGGGCTGGCTGTGGTCCTCCACGCCACCTTGACACCAAGGTTGGGAACCTCAACTCTCTCGATACTATTCCCTGTTTTTAACAGTCCTAAGGAAAAAAGACTGGAAGGGAGCAGCACAACAGAATCAGCATTTGTCTCTGGGGTGTGGAGGCTGGTGGGTGGGTTTTATCTTCTCTTTTAGACTTGTCTGTGTTTTCTGCACTGAGAAGCTACTCCCTTTATAATGGGGAGCAGAGGAGGGATGAAAAGTTGTTTTTTGTTTGTTTTTTTTTTGAGACGGAGTCTCGGTCTGTCACCCAGGCTGGAGTATAGTGGCTTGATCTGGGCTCACTGCAACCTCTGCCTCCTGGAATCATGCGATTCTCCTGTCTCAGCCTCCTGAGTGGCTGGAATTACAGGTACCCACCACCATGGCCAGCTAATTTTTGTGTGTTTTTAATAGAGACAGGGCTTCACCAGTTAGCCAGGATGGCTCAATATCCTGACCTTGTGATTCACCTGCCTCGGCCTCCCAAAGGGCTGGAATTACAGGCGTGAGGCACTGCACCGGGCTGAAAAGTTTATAAAAGTTAGTTATTTAGGCCGGGGGTGGTGGCTCACACCTGTAATCCTAGAACTTTGGGAGACTGAGGCAGGTGCATCACCTGAGGTCAGGAGTTCAAGACCAGCCTGGCCAACACGGTGAAACCCCGTCTCTACTAAAAACACAAAAAATTAGCTGGGCATGGTGGCATGCACCTGTAATGTCAGCTACTCGGGAGGCTGAGGAAGGAGAATCACCTGAACCGGGGAGATAGAGGTTGCAGTGAGCCGAGATCACACCACTGCACTCTAGCCTGTGCAATGGGAGCGAGACTCCATCTGAGAAAAAAAAATTATTTAGATTAAATAAAAAGAGAAACTTGGCTGGGCGCGGTGGCTCAAGCCTGTAATCCCAGCACTTTGGGAGGCCGAGGCGGGTGGATCACGAGGTCAAGAGATCGAGGCCGTCCTGGCCAACATGGTGAAACCCCGTCTCTACTAAAAATACAAAAAATTAGCTGGGCATGGTGGCGCGTGCCTGTAATCCCAGCTACTCAGGAGGCTGAGGCAGGAGAATTGCCTGAACCCAGGAGGCGGAGGTTGCGGTGAGCCGAGATCGCGCCATTGTACTCCAGCCTGGGTAACAAGAGCGAAACTCTGTCTCAAAAAAAAAAAAAAGAAAAAAAAAAGAGAGACTTAGCTGGGCATGATGGCTCACGCCTGTAAATCCCAACACTTTGGGAGGCCGAGGTGAGAGGATCGCTTGAGGAGGGGAATTCAAGACCAGCCTGGGCAACATAGTGAGACTCTATCTCTACAAAAAACTAGCCAGGCATGGTGGTGTGCACCTATAGTCCCAACTACCTGGGAGGCTGAGGCAGGAGGATCACTTGAGCCCAGGAGTTTGAGGCTGCAGGGAGCTGTGATTGCACCCCTGCACTCTGGCCTGGGTGACAGAGCGAGATCCTTTCTCTTTCTCAAAAGTAAAAAATAAGAGAAACTTAAAAATCTAAGGCTAAGAGCTTAGAACCAGAGGTGTTGACAGGGATAGACTGAGCACTAATGGGGTGATTGACAGGACACTGGGTACCACATGAAGCTGGGCCCAGTGCCCACTTGTCAGAGAACGCGGAGGTACAGGGAAGCTAATCCCCTCTGCCTGGGGCCTCGCAGTCTGGGAGCGTTGGTGGGGACTTGGAATCTGGGAGTGTCCCGGCATCAAAGGTCAACAGTTAGAGGATGGGGGTGTCGGGTCCCCACCCAACTCATGTCCTTACCTTGCAGCCCCTGCCTGTCCCTCCACCCCTGGAGGCAGGGCCGGAGAACCACCAATACCAGGTATGGAGCTGGGAGCTTGGAGGGGTGGGGAGACCCCACAGATCCAGAAGCCCTGAAGCCTGGGTGGGGAGGGGTCAAGATGACCAACACTGGGGCTCTCTTCCCCTCCTCCCCCCAAGTCTCATGGTCTCAGCTCTCGGGGAAGCCCGAAACCACCTCCCGGAGAGATCCTAGCGCGTCCCTTTTCCTCCCAAGGCTTCAATTTCCTTCTTTGCCAAAGAAGCTGGAATTTGCACAGGAGGAACAAGGCCCAGAGAGGGCCAGGGGACTGCCGGGGGCCCCACAGCCAGTCAGGGACCCAGTGAAACCCCGTGGCGGGGCTCAGTCCCTGTCCCTCCCCTCCCGTCTGCTGTCTGTCGCTGTATCTGTCTCTTTCTCAGCGGCCTTCACATGTGCGCGTGTCTGTCTTCCCCTTGCTTGGAGCCTCTGTCTGTCTCTCTCATTTCTCTGCTGTGTTCTCACCGTCTCTCAGTTTGCTCATGCTGCCTCGTCTAAGACGCATCCCTTTGCACGTCTTTGTCGCTCTGCACCTGTCTTTCCTCGGTCTCTGTCTCCATTCTCGGTCTCTCCTGCCTCTTTGTCCCTGTCACTGTGTCCGCCTCATTCCCTGGCTCGTCCAGGTCCTCCTGCCTCTGGCTCGCACTCTTTTTCCACGCTGCTCCTCCGTCCTCTCTGCGGCTTGCTCTCCCTCCGTCTCACTCTGCCCGGCCCCGTCCCTGTGTGTCTCCCCGAGACTCCCACCCTCCACCCGGTCATCATTCTGTTCTCTCTTCCCCCCAAGCAGGACCTGCTAAACCCCGACCCTGCCCCCTATTGCCAGCTGGTGCCAACCTCCTGACGGGTCCTGGGCCAGGCCAGCTGGGGAGAAGACAAGGCCCCAGCCTCCTCTGCGAGCCTCACGCCTGAGACCAGCAGGACGAGGCCAGCAGGGGCTCAGCACCACGTGGGGCAGGTGTCCCGGCCGGGGAGCAGGAGCCTGTAACAGGCCCAGTTCCCTGCACAGCCCCTGAGTGCGCGCCCTACCTTCAGTCCGTTCTTTCAAGCAAGCGGGCCTGGGCTGTGTGTCTAGAAAGGCAGGCTCTGGGACCCTCCCATCCCAAAGTCCCCCAGGATCTGGATATTTGGGGACAACGGGGTGGCCTCAGGCCTGCCTCCCAGGCAGTTGGCTGTCTCCTGACACCACTTCCCGCCCTTTCCTCCTCCCCACTCTTTCTCCACCACACTGACCTTTCTGCTGCTTTTTAATTTTGAGACAGAGTCTCACTCTGTCATCCAGGCTGGAGTGCAGGGGCACGATCTGGGCTCCCTGCAATGCCCTACCCCCACTCCACCAGCGACCCTCAGGGTCTTTCCCCCTGGAGACAAGGCAGACCCCCCACCATGCAGGCCTCAGGTAGCAGAGAGGCCCAGCCTCTCAGGCCTGTGGTCCCACACACCAGTTCCAGCAAGGTGACCAAGGCTGCCGGACCCTTCCCTGTTCAGGATATCCCTGCCCCTCTCAGAACCTGCTGCCAGCTGCTGAACTTGGCCCCCACCCCGAATCCCACCAAGTCCCCCGGCACAGCAGCTCCCTTCTCCACCCCACCGCAGCCCCTGGTCCCAAAGGTGGGCTCCGCTTGTCGCTCTCCCAATCTGTGCATTCATTCAGCAATAAATGAGCCTTTGCTGTATGCCAGGCTCAGGTCGAGACTCTTGCAGCCTTGATAGAAAACAAAACCAAAACTCCTGGCAGGGCACAGTGGCTCACACCTGTAATCTCAGCACTGTGGGAGGCTGAGGAGGATGAATCAGGAGGTCAGGAGTTCCAGGCCAGCCTGGCCAACACAGTGAAGCCCCGTCTCTACTAAAAATACAAAACTTAACTGGGCATGGTGGCAGGCACCTATAATCCCAGGTACTCAGGAGGCTGAGGCAGGAGAATCACTTGAACCTGGGAGGTGGAGGTTGCAGTGAGCCAAGATCGTGCCACTGCACTCCAGCCTGGGTGGCAGAGCAAGACTCTGTCTCCAAAAAAAAAAAAGAAAAGAAAGAAAAGAAAAGAAAATTAGAATTGGGAAAAGGCAAGAAAATGAATTCTCATCCTAGAACCTTCAGAAAGCAACACAGACCCGCTGAAACCGACTTCAGTGCAGTGAAACCTGTTTTGGACTCTCGGCCTCCAGAACTGTAAGATAACAAATCTGTGTTGTTTTAAGCCACTAAATTTGTGGCAGTGTGTTACAGGAAGTGGGAAACTAACACAGAGGATGAGGAAGATGTCACAGAAGGAGAAGCTGCATCTCATGCTGACTCCGTAGGCAGATACCCCCTGGGAGACTTCTCCATTCCCAGCCCGCACCAGACACCCACTGCCTGGGCCTCGGGCTGCCTTGCTGAGATGGTCAGCCCGGTCAGCCGGGTGGCCAGGGGGCAGGGCTAGGAGTGTGAGGGGATTCCATCTTTTCTCTCTCTCTCTCTTTTTTTTTTCTTTTCAGACAGACTCTTGCTCTGGGTGACAACCCAGACTGGAGTGCAGTGGTGTGATCTCACCTCACTGGAACCTATGCCTCCCAGGCTCAAGCAATTCTCCTGCCTTGGCCTCCCAAGTATCGGGACCACAGGTGCACACCACTTCACCCAGCTACTTCTTTTTTTTTTTTTTTTTTTTTTTTTTTTTTCAGTAGAGATGAGTTCCACCATGCTGGCCAGGCTGGTCTCAAACTCCTGGCTTGGCAGGCAGAAGGGCTGTAATCCATGGTGGCAGGCACCTCTAATCCCAGCATTTTGAGAGACCAAGGCAGGCGGATTACTTGAGGTCAGGGATTCGAGGCCAGCCTGGCCAACACGCTGAAATACTTCCTCTACGAAAAATACAAAAATTAGCCGGGCATGGTGGTGCATGCCTGTAGTCCCAACACTTTGGGAGGCTGAGACAGGAGAATCGCTTGAATCAGGGAAGCAGAGGTTGCACTGAGCTGAGATCACATCACTGCACTCCAATGTGGGCGACAGGGCAACTCTAGAACAAAACATTGACAGAATTTAGTTCTGGTTTGGATACAGGGGATTAGAGAGAAGAGTGTGCCAATAATTGGTTTGTTCATCAGTTCAGTGAACATTTATTGAGCATCTGCTCAGCAAATGGAGAACCCTATTCTGGGCTCTGGGGAGACAGCCATGAATGAGACAGCAATGCCTGCTTTTGGAAAGCTGACCTCCTGGTAGGAGAAAGACCACAGACACACACACAGGGCACAGAACATAATGTCAGGGGTGATGATGCTGGGAAGGAATGGAGCAGGTGCGGAGAACCTGCTGGAACTCACATGCTAAAGAGGTGCCGGAAAGGGTCATCTCCCGGGTGACTGCTTCCAGCAGTGGGAGGGTAGGGAGCAGGCATGTTATGCACACTGCAACAGGGCCAGGTCTGCAAGAGAAAAAGACATGACTGCTTGGGTGCGGGGGCTCATGCCTGTAATCCCAGCACTTTGGGAGGCTGAAGCAGGCGGATCATTTGAGGTTAGGAGTTCAAGACCAGCCTGGCCAACATGGTGAAATCCCATTTCTATTAAAATACAAAAATTATGGTGGTGCATGCCTATAGTCCCAGCTACTCGGGAGGCTGAGGAAGGAGAATCGCTTGAACCCGAGAGACGGAGGTTGTAGTGAGCCGAGATCGTGCCACTGCACTCCAGCCTGGGTGACAGAGCAAGACTCCATCTCAAAAAAAAAAAAAAAAAAAAGACATGGCCACACAAAGCTTTCTATGAGAATGTCCACAGCAGCACTATTCACAATAGCCAAAACGCAGGAACAATCCAAATGCCCATCAGCAAATGAATGATTACGGTTTTTGGGGGCTTTTTTGTTTTGAGATGGAGTCTTGCTCTGCTGCCCAGGCTGGAGCACAGTGGCATGATCTCAGCTCACTGCAACCCCAGCCCCTCAGGTTCAAGTATATTCTCCTGCCTCAGCCTCCCAAGTAGCTGGTATTACAGGTGCACACCACCACGCCCAGGTAATTTTTGAATTTTTTAGTAGAGACGGGGTTTCACCATGTTGGCCAGGCTGATCTCACACTCCTGAGTGCTGGTGACCCGCCCACCCCAACCTCCTAAAGTGCTGGGATTACAGGCATGAGCCACTGCATCCAGCCATATTCTCAAATTGATTTTAATGATGGCTGCACAACTCTGTGAATATACTAAAAGCTATTGAACTGTACACTTTGTTTTGGTTTTGTTTTCATTTTAAGAGACAGGGTTGCCAGGCACAGTGGCTCAAGCTTGTAATTCTAGCACTTTGGGAGGCTGAGGTGGACGGATCACAAGGTCAGGAGTTCGAGACCAGCCTGGACAACATGGTGAAAGCCCGTCTCTACTAAAAATACAAAAATTAGCTGGGCATGGTGGTGCATACCTGTAGTTCCAGCTACTCGGGAGGCTGAGGCGGGAGAATTGCTTGAGGCTGCAATGAAATGAGATAGCGCCACTGCACGCCACCCTGGGAAATAGAATGAGACTCTGTCTCAAAAAAAAAGAAAGAGAGACACGGTCTTGCTCTCTCGCTGGCGCTGGAGTGCAGTGGTTGCAGTGTCGGCTCACTGCAGCCTCGACCCCCTGACTCAAGTGTTCCTCCCACCCTGGCCTCCCAAAGTGCCGGACTTACAGGTGTAAACCATGGCACCCAGCCCGAATTGTACACTTTACATGAATGAATTGTGTGGCATGTGAATTATACCTCAAATCTGTTTAAAAAAGAAAGAGTGGAGACTTTCTGAACCTATTCTTCTGGTTCGGGGGCTGCCAGATTCGCAACATCGCAACATATGTATTTTTTTTTTTTTTTTTTTTTTTTTTTTGAGACGGTGTTTCGCTCTTGTTACCCAGGCTGGAGTGCAATGGCGCGATCTCGGCTCACTGCAACCTCCGCCTCCTGGGTTCAGGCAATTTTCCTGCCTCAGCCTCCTGAGTAGCTGGGATTACAGGCACGTGCCACCATGCCCAGCTAATTTTTTTTTGTATTTTTAGTAGAGACGGGGTTTCACCATGTTGACCAGGATGGTCTTGATCTCTCGACCTCGTGATCCACCCGCCTCGGCCTCCCAAAGTGCTGGGATTACAGGCTTGAGCCACCGCGCCCGGCCGCAACATATATATTTAAAGATGGGGTTTCACCATGATGGCCAGGCTGGTCTTGAACTCCTGACCTCAGGTGATCCACCCACCTTGGCCTCCCAAAGTGCTAGGATTACAGGCGTGAGCCACCGCGCCCACCATTCGCAAAATATTTTTAAAAAGGAAAAGAAAGAGAAATGGCGTGGTGGAGGGAGGAGGAGTTGAGGGGAAAGGAGGTGGAGAAAGAAAAGAAAGAGAATGAAAAAAGAGAAAGATGGGGAGGGAGGGAGTGGAGAGAGAAACTGGCGGGTTTGACAGGTCGGCCCTGAGTCAGCAGGAGGGGGCAGCTGGAGACCGGAGTCAGGGTGTGGGAGTGGGGACAGTAAACATGAGTGTGCCTTGTAGCGCCTGACTCATTGTCACTCCAGAAATGTCACCTCCTTTCACTGGGGTTTGTGTTTACTGGGTCGTCACTATTGCCAGACTTCTTGTGAGACAGGGTCAGCCCTGAGCCAGCAGGGGGCAGCAGAGGACCGCACAGAGCCGCGCACAAGGGCCGCGGCTACCTGGAGCCCCCGTGCACCCACCCGGTCTCTGCCCCTTTCTTTACCCCTCTGGGAACACGGAGCATCTATCCAGCTGCCCAAGCCGAAACCTGGACGCTGCCCGCCCCACTCTGGGCCCGCCCTCCAGGCCTCTGGAACTCGGCCTTCCCCCATCCCTGCAGCCCAGCCCCAGGCCAGGCAGCTTCTGTCCCCTCCCTGCCCCGGCCTCCCTCCTGGACTCCTGCCTCCTCCCATTCTCCCACCA